CTGTTCTGACTCACAGACTGTAAGTACGTTTTCATTTTAAGAATTTGCCACTGATGATTTAAAAGCGAGTTTTGAGCAGTGTAGAGTAGTGCTTGTAGTTTGTCATTTCTCCGATCACAAATGCAGACATTGTTTTATGTTTATGCGGGACGAAGCAATGCAACATGTAAAAAGACAATATAAGTCATTATAATCTGTAATTATGTCCCCACTGGATACAACAAATGCCTCGTTTATAATGGGTTTTAATGTTTTTGTCTTGTCGGACAAGGCATCACAATATGGTAGGGGCGTAACATTTTCTTCACACGCTTGAGGTATTCGGCCAATCACAACACACTGGATAGCTGGCCAATCAGAGCACACCTCGCTTTTCAGACCGATGAGCTTTGTAAAAATCTAAGCCTTTCAGAAAGGCGGGGTATAGAGGAGAAACAATAATGTACAGTATGTGGAAAATAATGTGTTTTTTGAACCTTAAACCGCATAAACACATTTCATTACACCAAATACACAAAAGAATGTTCTTTTTAGCAACATCATATGACCCCTTTAACAACGACCGGGGAAAACCACATTTCTGTCAAATTTTACTTTTAATAAACACTTGCTGCTGTCAAAAGAACAAGCTTTTATTCAACGTATAAAGTGAATAATATCACGTTAAGCGTTCTCCACCATAGAAGTCCATTATAAGGAAACAGCTTAACGTTATGATCCAAAAGCGCAGACAAATCAATAAACTTGACAATAAACGCTTTGTTGTCCCATCGTTATTCGTCTGAAAAACATCCTACACCTAGGATGACTTGAAGGTTAGTAAATCATGGGGTAATTTTCATTTTTGGGTGAACTATCCCTTTAAAGGAGTACTTCATCCAAAAATGTTAATTCTGCGATCATTTATTAAGACCTTATAATTGATCTTTTAAGTTTAGTTTACTTAGACTTTCAGTGGAGAGACAGAAACCTCTCAGGTTTCAATAGAAATACCTTAATTTGTGTTTCGAAGATTAACCCTCTTATGGTTTCTCAGGTTTCATTAGAAGTGTTATCACAGGTAAAAATTCAGAAAAGGTTTGATGCCAGAGAACACATCTAAATGTAAAAAGAGAGAGATTTACATATGACCGGTACTTATATCATACTAAATATTTTGGTTTAAAATTACATGTATCATGGTGAGATAGATTTTAGTCATATCACCCACCTGCTAAAAAGACAACACATGATTCGTTAAAGGGAGGACATGAAAAAGACTAAAGATAACATCTCGGTTACGTATGGTAACCCTCGGCCCCTGAAGGAGGGAACGGAGACGTCACGTCAGATGACCGACAAATTAGGATCTCGTTTAGAGAGACCAATCTACTTTTTTAAACTAAACGAGCCAATGCACATTGGGCGGGATCGGAAGTCGGCCGGCCTGAACTCTAGGCACGAATCGTCGACCAAAAATGCGTGCAGGTCACCTACCCTCTTCATGGAGGCCAGTGCAAGCAGGAGACGAGTTTTCATTGACAGAAACTTCAGCTCGACTGTCTCCAAAGGCTCAAATGGGCCATGCTGGCCAATCAGTAAGACTGGATAACACTGGGAAAACGGACCCGTTCCACTTGAGACAGGGACGTTGCGGAAGCTCCAACCTTCCCGAAGGAGGTTTCGGAAGCAAATACACACATGAACATCCCTTAGGTGCATATGGAATATTGGAGGTGATTGTAACCCTCTTGGAGTGGCAGAAGTCTGCCAGGGAAACACGGGTTCTGAGGTCATACCGTGGACTTTACAAATATGGGATCCACTTAGGTATCTACACATGGAACCCAGCCCTCTACCAGTTCTCACGGATTCATCAAGAGAGGGCCTGGCGCCGGACGCTCCGCCATGTCTGGCTGCCGAGGGGATGGAGGAGCTCAACAGGGTCTACTATACGGACTCTCTGGAGCAGTTTTAGCAAGCCGACCCGAAGCTGGGG